TTTCGCGAGTCGACGACGTGGGACGGTTTTTAATTGGAGCTATCGAGTGGTATTTGGTGAGAAAATTTCACATCGAGATTTAAAAATATACTAGGATAATATAACGCTATATTAAATACAAAATACCGACTTTAGTTGCACAAAATATTAATGAGGCAGCTGATGTTAGTTCAAATTATTATTCTTGACTAAGTTTATTCCACTAAAGTTGGTGGAAATACATTTTGATACAAGGAAATCGGCAGTATGACGTAGTATCAATATAATTCATATCCATAACATTGTTAGGTAAAATAAAACACATTCAACTTACTTTAGTTACCTATACGAAATAATGAAAAAATGAGTCGATAGTAGCTCAATATCTCAGTTTTTGACAAATCCATTTTTCTGAAGTTGGTTGAAATATATTTTCTCATAAGAAACTCGAAGTATTATTTATAGTATCAATAAAAGCTCACGTAATATGATTAGGTTGAATATAATATGATCAAACGACTTTGAATGAAATAATGATAAAGTTAAGTGTGTAATGTCAATTGTCATGCTCCTTCCCCTGAGGAGGAGCAGAAATTTCCAGAAATGTGTTTACTTGCTATGGTAACGATACAAAATACAGGCTTTTGATTGGTCGAAAATATAAGGTGTAAAATTTTCAGGAAAAATGTTAGTTTGACGTAGAGGTGGTAGTTTCATGATCTAGCTTTGCTCAGTTAAACTAAAAATATGTTAATGGTAAGGCAATTCCTTTGTTCACCTAGTGATGAACTGATTGGGACTGTCAAACATTCCATTAAAAGTTTTGGGATTGCTGAGTTCGAAAATAAATACAAAGTGATTTCACCGTCCGACAAGAACCTCGTAGCTGTAACACCAGTGGGATTACTGGGACGGAATGTTTTAGACATGCATTATTTCGAAGTTCAGTATAATGGAAAAGCTTTTTGAAACTTTGGACCACGACATATTAGTAGGTAGATAGGTAAGTAATCATTTTACATAAGACTTGCACAACAAGTATACAAATTGTCAATTCTAGATAAAAACGGAAATAATATTATTACTAGACACTAGCCCAAGATCTGGAAGAAAAAAAAACAGAACAAACATATAAAACTGTTTACACATAATCAAGTATTTTTTTATGTTCTGGTTCCCACGAAAAGGGATATCCTGTAATGTTCAGAGAACATCGTGAGAACCAAGGGAAATAAGGTAGGAATTGGTGTTCTTCTTAAATTTCTGAAGGTTATATGCCTCCGGGAACACCTCCCTTGGCAATGTGTTCCAGAGCCTCGCTGTTCGTTGGATGCACGAGTCTTTGGAAGGAAAGAGATGTTCTGCAGGTCTCCAAAGTGACCACGAAGGGGTGCGAAGCCTCAACTCGACGGGTTAATCTCGTGAGGACTGCCAAGGGAGGAACAATTGTTGATATTTCAGAAGAGCATCGTCCATGGAAATATCTATAAAATAGAGCCAGATCGCCAACTTTTCTACGGTGTTCCAGAAAAGTGAGTCAGTTTGTGAGCGAGGCATGACCCACCAGACGAATTGCCCTTTTTTGGACAGAATCCAACAGTTTCAGGGTATGTTTGGGTGCTGCACTCCAAATATGGGAACAGTATTCCAGGACTGTGCCTTATAGATCATAAGCAGCGGACTGGAAGTGAAATAGTTCCTGGCCCGAAACAGAAAACCAAGTTTTTGGGATGCACTTTTAGCAATTGATCTCATGTGATTTTACCAAGAAAGGTTATTGCTGATAGTAATACCAAGCATCGAAATGGATGTCTTCAAAGGTATGGTTACTCCTGAAAAGCTTATGTTGGGCACAGTGAGATCGGCTTTTCAAGAGAAAAGGCATGCTTGTGTTTCGTTTGCATTGAAATCTACCAAATTATTGGATCCCCATTCGAGAATTGTTGCCAAGTCCATATTTATGTTGTCAACATTTCTTCCTCGTTCGTTTCTGATTTGCCTGGCTGGTATTGGAGCCCTGGAAGAGAAGGCGGTATGGAGGGTACTATCATCCGCGAAGCTGTGTACTGGACATGAAGTTGCTTCCAACAAATCGTTGATATGGAGTAGAAATAGTGTTGGTGCTAGAATTGATCCTTGCGGAACACCAGCATTTATGATAAGAGAGTCAGATGAAACTCCGTCGACCACTACATGGAGAGACCTGTTTGAGAGAAAACTAGCTAGCAGAGAACATAGTATGAAACAGAAGTACTGTAGGACGAATGATATAAATTAAAATAAATCATTGAAATATTCCGTGGGAGAGTAGTAGTAGCTTTTATTTTTGAGAAATAATTTGCACTGTCTCTCGAATAAAGGCTTCTTCAAGGATTCTTTAGAACTTTAAGTGACTAAGGCAAAAGATTATATATATGTATATTTTGAGAGAGTTTATTTGCATTTCTTGTTGTATAATGATTAATATCACCACAGGTTTCAAAGTTCTCTAGGCTATTGTGAGTGAAGCATAGAGCGGTCAGAATGCAAATATTGAAAATGGTTGGAATTTTTTGAGAAATGAATATACTTCTTATTATCCGTTTTTGACTGATAAATACCTCTTCTAACCTAACGAATCCCCCTCTGAAGTTTCGTACCGTAATCAGAAGACACCCTGTATAATCGAGGAAATTTGAAAGGAGTTTTTTGATCTGATGCTAAATATCAATTTTCGGGTGAATTCAAATTATTCATCAGAACATGTTGGAGACAGTCAATTTTAGAATGTTATTATCGTGGAATTCAAAGAACCTTATCCCTAAACCTTTTCAGTATCGGAATATCGTTCTTCTTAGAGAAAAATCTCATTTTCGTGAGTTGTCGATCGGACGCGCGTTTTCCCGTGAAAACTACAAGTTTTCCAGGGAATGAGCACGAACGGTAGGTAGTAAGGGTAAGTAATCTTAGCAATTCCTTTTAGGTTGTTGCGGACCCCATCTGGTGCTTTTTCTTTGACGGATTTAGAGACGGAAAAGGGAGCCCTTTTCATTGATGGAAGTTTCGCATGGCTTTCTTTGTGGCGATTTTCTGTTGCCTGCGAATATCGAGAACATGAAGAACATATTCATTATACTATATTGAGTGAGCTTCAGGATACCGTGATGTGCCGAGCAGCAAAAATATACGGGAAAAGTCAAAGTCACATGAATATTATGGTAATGTCGAATGTGAAAAGCACTGGGGAATTTGTTGAGACAGTAGGTATGGGGAAACTTTGGTCAACCCCTTATGGGTGATTAATTCGAACATTACATTCTAATGGAGCAATTTTTTTCAAATAATTTCCTTGTTTTTGTGTTAGCCATTGTGGTGTTTCGTGACTTACTATTTTTATAAATCTTATACTTATTGTTCTTACCATAATGTTATTATTGATATTATTAATATTATTATTGTAATCATTATAATCAAATATCTGTGTCTGTATTTTGACTGTATTTGTGTTCCATGTATTGTAGGTCATAAACTAGTCATTGACTTTTTTTTACGCTTGGAGCGCACGAAAGGAAATCCCTATAATGTTCAAAGAACATCGTGCGTTCCTAGGGAGGATTGGGACAGGAGGTAGGTATTGGAATTTTTTTTGAACTTCTGGAGATTATATAATGTTGGGAATACTTCCTCAGGCAATGAATTCCAGAGCCTAGCCGTTCTATGGATGAAGGAGTTTTGATAAAGTGCTGTTCGAAATCTTTCAATGCAACATTTAACATCAACTGTACAACGCCTATAGAATATGCAAACGTATAGGGTTGCCTATATATTTCCCAGTCTAACTTTTGGGTTGCCAGGTATGAACAAGTATTTTTTTTTTTTTTTCAATTGACTCGATTAATTACCTGTGGTCATGATCGATAAACCTCCATTTTCGGAAATTAGGCACAATATCTACATTAACTTATATACGGTATACCGCATTAACTTGAAAGGGATGATAGCAAATTAATATTATTACCTACTAAGAAAACAAATTCAACAGTGGTGAACTATTGAGGTCTAATTGATCGTTAAGTAAAATGTAAAAATTTTTGAGTTTGTTGATTTCTAATGATTCAAAATGATTGAGTTTCATTCCTTTATTTTCTACATGTAGAATTTCGAAATTATCATCAAAACTATGGTTTTCTTCTAATATATGGTTGGCGTATGTTGAATTTGTTTTCTTTTTTTAAAAAATTCATCTTATGTTCATGAATGCAGTGATTAAACGTACGACCTGTCTGACCGATATATACCTTAGGACAAGATCCACAGTTGAGTTTGTATACCCCTGATTTTTCGAATTTAGAAGTTTTGTCTTTATTATTTTTGATAAACCTTCCCAACGTGTTATTTGTTCTATACGCTACTCTCAAGTCCTGTTTATGTAGAAATGAAGCTAATTTTTCAGTTGATGATCCGAAATAGGTTAAAATTCTATAATTTTGACTATCATTCTTGATGGTCGGATAAACTTCTAGGTATTTTGGTCTTAGTTATTTTCACTTACTTGTTTTAAATATGAACTGAACAAAAAAAAAAGTGCTGTTTTATTGCGAATACAATGGTATGGGTATAGGGTTGCTCACAAAAAGTCTGTCCTGAATGACGATTGTCAAATTATAGACAGTGTTTCGTCCTTGGTACATAAATAACTATTTAACATGCTAAATTACTTATAAAATGATTTCCATCCATTAAACAGATGGGTGAAAATCGACCTTACTTCGTATCTTAGACTAAATGGAATTTGGTCTGATTTGCTGAAACGGACGGATCCAGATGTATTTTCCTGTCCACTACGATTTCGTGCAATCTGAGAATGAACCATTAACCCAATTTTCAGGGTCCGAAGTATGATATATTATTCATGAATTTCCCACTCGAAGAAAATAGAAAACTAAACTGAAGGGCTTCGCTGTTTCCTAAACAATCACACATTTTCTCATTGTCATTTGAAAATTCGTAGAGGAAATTGAAAAGACAATGATTTTTTACAGAGGAATGCAGTCGACTCCAATGCTGAGATCTCTGAGCTCAGATTCTTCGAGCAGAAGGGACTGGAAGCAAAGGCTGAGCCTCAGAGACAATCGCAGGAAAGAAACGGTGAGTAGTTTGCATCAACCTTCTTCAAAAACACCATACTTTCATAGACAATTGCCTACTTAAATACTACCCTGTATATAATGCACATGATCAGAAGTTCATAATAAAGTGTAAGTAAAACATAGGAGCCGGTGATAATTTTTGTCGGAAATTCAACCGAAAAGATATTCGCGGGAATCAATGTTACCAGGTGGCGCTCGGTTTTCATCGTTCCATGTCAAAGCGACGTCAAAACTGGGGGAAAACAAACTCAATCCTCACTCAATCCCATTAGTGCCATTATAGCTTGTGTACTGTGTACTGATAAGAGTGATACGTTTTCGAATTTCTTGACATTAATCAATTCATTCAAATCAATTCATAATTCGATAGAACTAACCCAAACTAGCTCACCACCGCAAACCGTTTCTTGCTGTGAGCTTCCTACGTTTCATAAACAATTATTGAAATCCCCGATTTTTCGGACCTCTGAAAACGAGGCGATGATGTGACGTCAAAACCCTTGTACTGAAACAAGACTATTCCAGAAAGAGATGAATGATACATGATTTCTGACAGAGTGAATTAGCGCGAGATCACAGTTGAAATAATTAATATATCAGTTGCCTCAGTCCCCGTCGGGCGTTTGGTATTTTCTTTTAACTATATGGCGAGATGAGGTTTCTACGTCATAAGAGGGTCCGTTTTCAGAAGGTACTATTATTTATGTCCAAAAATAAAACATTCCAGTTAATTTTTCGTGCTTGTGTGGGGCAGAAGACTTCAACAAAAGGCACATTTTTGCACTTTGTCTACAAACTTCGGCGATGAAATCTTCCCCACATGAAGTAAAATTGAAGTTGGGGTCCAGAGGAACTCCTGTAAAACAATGGATTTGTATTTGTTCATGCAAAGCAGGAAAATCTGGGTATTGTAAACATGTTGTGGCTGTTCTTTTATATGTCAATTGATTTGCTCGTCATAATTAGTTTTGATTGTTTCACCCGTTCACTGTTCACAAAACTAATAAAAATGTAATAACGTAAAAAAATTAACCAACTCAACCATCATCACTACCAACAGTGCCAACACTTTATGTTATTGACAAGTTTGACTACAGCTACAGCAAGCTGAATGCAATGTAGTCTATGTACTTTATCCATAGACAATAGTTTGTTTTCCCCCAGTTTGAAGTTCGTATTATGTTTTTGGGTGTATGATAAATTGACATTCATCATACAGGGCGTGGAAATGAATTCTGAATTGAGACTCTATCACGAATCTGCGATTAGAGGTCTATAAAAATCACAAGTTTCCATCGTTCAAGTTTGAACCCCCTGATTGGGTATGAAAGTGTTGAAAAGGAATATTCTCAGATGTCGCCCACTTCGTGAATCTCGCGAATAATGGAGATGATGGAGAGCTCTTATTTCGAGTGACAACGAAAAATAAAAAAACTCCACCGTCCCGTGTGAGATTCGAACCCACAACCTCTGGCTTACATGCCCAAAGCTCTGCCAATTGAGCTAACGGGACATCCGTCGATCAATCGGAATAGGTAGGGAGATCGAGTTCTCATCATACACTAGGCGACAGAATCCTTCCAATTCCCGAAGTCACTTGAAATCATGCATTATACGAAGCATCGATGGCAGGATGGTACTATACAGTCGCCATATTTCCCCGTTCGTCCTGTGGCATTGTCTTGCCTTGTATACGGAAATGTCCGAAGGAAATCATATATACGAAACAGGCATAATTTTTGTCGGTTATCAACCCAAAAGAGTTAGTATTTGTAAAACAAAAATAGAAAAATTGATTTTTGGAGACAACTTTGTTGGTCAATTGAAATCAACTTTGAGATGTTTCAATTGTGGACATTGCTCTGTTAGTTTTGAACCTTTCTGGGATCTATCATTATACCGACTCCAAACACAACGGACCAACTCTGACTTTCACAATGCTTAGACCTTTTCAGTGAAAAGGCAATTTTTTTCCATCTGCAAAACGTATACCGTTGAGGAAATAGTAATAATGTTCCTATGAAATCGGCGGGACCCTATATACTGAAGGAATGATGGACGTGTTTTTCAATGCAAAAATACTACATTGAACTTGTTTTCAACACTGCCATCAGTGACCAATTGCGGAGGAGAGCGTTTATTTTCAAAATTATCAATGATCAAATCAAATTGTGTACCTAATTCCGAAGAGAACATAACAAACTTTGGGAATGCTTTCCATCGGAAGTGATTTGATGAGCAGTTCGATTTATGATGGTGCAATGAAAGTATTCGCAGATTCGTGAATCAGAAAATTGGAAGTGATATCGTAGTATGTTTCTCCTAGTAATTTCGTTACGGTTTAGTTCTTTTATTTTGAACGTATCTGATCCTAGTCAGTGTTATAGTTACGTTCATTTTATTTCATGTGGCTCTGTTTTTTTTTTATTTGTTATTATATCCTAAACCATATCAATGAATGCACTTTTTGTTGTTCCTTGTGTCCTATATATTTTCATCATGCATTTTTCACTTCAATTTGGTCAGAAAATGTTAGATGGGAAAATTGGTGAGAAGAAATAACAGGAGGAGAAAAATGATGGGTAGGGGCCACAAGGGCCCCAAGAATTATCAAGCTTAGGGCCCCAGAAATCGTAGATCCGCCACTGCTTTTCACCAGAGAGGAAATCTTGAACGGTGACGAGTCACCAACATGTTCAAAATGTAAGGAAAGAAGAAATTTCACGAAGTCTTTGTTTATACTTAAATTCCCTAATATACTAGTGATCCAATTAAAACGTTTCTCGCCATCGGAGAATTTTCATGGAGGAATAAATATCACCATTGATTTTCCTCTACAATATTTGTATATAGGTAATTATGCAGCAAATAATGAAATCCCTTGTAGATATAATCTATATGCCGTATCTAATCATAGTGGAACAACTTTTTCTGGACACTACAAAGCATATTGTAAACACCCAATCACTGACTTATGGAACGAGTGCAATGACTCGATTGTTTCACAGAAATCATCTAAATCTATTGTGAATGGAGAAGCATACAACCTCTTCTACGAGCAGAAGGTTGCAAGGACGCAAAACAAAGGAAATAAAGATGAGAGTACTGCTATCAACAATCAAGAAAATAATGAAAAACTCAGTAGAGTGAAACGGATCACAAGAAATGATATGTCAGTTCTACAGGACGTCTCATCATTCGAATCGTAACCATCATCTCGCGAAAGAGTCTCAGATTGTCTTCCAAGGAGAGTTCTAATGATGGCTTCCCATCATCAAACCTTTGCTGAAAAGGGTGGACAGGGCGATGAAGGAAAACGTTCCAAAAGAAATATGAGGAATAAATAATGTTGACCGTTTTATCAAAATTTTTATATTTATATTGTATAGTCTTGTGGGTGTATGAATATTTCATTACGTTATTATCGGTGTACAATGCATAATAACTCCTTTGGTCACACACATTCCACGAGCTTAAGTTATCAATTATAAATCGACTGGGTCGCTGCACTAAGGGCTTTTGTCGCTGTCAAAATCACCCCTTTGATATTTGCAGGCGAACATAACATGACGAACACAATGCCCCTCTATAAAGCGAGCAAATATTTTTGTTGTCCTGGCATAATGACAGGCCCTGTAACCTAAACAATCACCAGCAACAATGTCCTCAGAAAGCTCAGCCGTATATAAAGGACCGTTTCAGTATGAACAATTTTGTTTCTCTCTATGATTTTTTTCGTCTTAGGAATGAAAAATCGATTCATATTGTGTTGAGAAAACTATGCATACTTATACAGGGTGCGCGAAATTCGAGCTTGAGCAAGGGGATCTCGGTTATCTCGAGAGATACGATGTTGTTCAAATTAGGGCGAAGTTGCGTATTCTGGTGCTGAAAAATAATCTGAAGAAGAAGCAAAGAAATATATCTTAAAATACTATTGAAACAGTTGAAAGGAAGATTATTCACCATATTGAAAATGAATATTCTCAGATATAATTATGAACATAAAAAAATGAATTTATTCGAGTGGAGATAACCTGTTTGTGAGAGATATAATTGCCACATCTTTTCGGATGTTCAAGAGATATATATAATTCAATGTTCGACGTGAGAAATAGCCAGGAATCCAGGAAAGTAGTTGTTTTCTGATGAATATTCAGAATGATATTATATGCATGTCTTTATATGAAGGAGAATGCAAATTCTCTATACTTCAGAAGATTTTGTTTTCAAATTCTTATCGTGTATGTTCAATAGATATAATTCAATGTTCGTCGTGACATATAGTCAAGAAAGTAGTTGTTTTCTGTTGAATAAACCGAGAAAGAATTGATATTTTCATCACATAGAGAATGCGAATTCTCAATGAATTTCTTTAAATATATATATACAGGGTGGTCCGTTTTTCAATACGGAAAATTTAACAGCGTATAGTACTCGTTGAAATAATGAAAAAACTTCCTATGAACATATACTTTTAAACGCTTCGTTTTTGAGATATTGAGTGTCAAAAATACGCTTCTGAATATATTTTTTCAATCAAAAGTTAGAAACGGTAGATAAATTAACGACATTTTTCACAGATACTAAACTTTTTAAGCTTTATTAGATTAAATAAAAATCATTCATACAAACTATTCAGTGGCGGTTGAATCTGGGTTGGCGAAGGTAATAATTACACAAATTTTTCGGGTAATTATTTCTCAAATTTCAATGAAAAAAGCTCGCTTGTAAGATTTTATAACATTTTTTAGTTAAATAATACTATTTGATATCAATTAAATAAGTAGGCTATGCTCAGTTGCTCACTGTTCACTGTTTTGAAGACAAATAGCAGGATATCCACTGCGGTCTATTGCCTGTTGTGACTCTTCTAATACGTAAATGATTGATTTGCAATGGTTACATGATTGGTTTGGTAAACGGCCAATGCTAACTAGATTTAATGCATTACAATGTTTCTTTCATTGGGTTTAGAGACATGCATAGGTTTGGTTT